CCCCAAAACCCCAAAACCCCAAAACCCCAAAACCCCAAAAATTATAGTAATTATTGAAAATGTCGCTCTTGTATAAAAATTCAGCAATCCTTATTGTTCTTGGATATTTGGACAAAACGGAGCAATTGTACTTTCAATTAATCAATAAACGATTCTATGAGAAGATAATACCTTTACTTTTCATGACTATGAAAGTTCCTATTGAGACAAGAGTTTTCAGGTGAAAATCAGGTCAAACTGAGTATGTTGAATATAACCTAGATGCTGCAGAATTCACACCAGATTCATTACCAGAAAGGTATATTTTGAATTTAGTTGCTTTTGTTAATATCTTGATTTAGCCCTTATTCATACAGAAAAGAGTGTATACAGAAGCCATTCAAAAGCGTATTCTCTATGAGCGGAATGAATATGCAATTCCCATTAAATCATAAGCACGCATTCACATCGGATAATAGATTATTTGTAATTGGTGGTACATTCAATCTTACAAATGCCTACAGAGAAACGTATGAAGTACTTCAGAATCATGAATTAATTGATAAACAATCTTTGAACACGCCAAGACACTCTTTCGCATGAATAAGTGTGTCTACTTCGATTTTAGTATTAGGAGGATACTTCTCTAGATCTAAAACTCTTTCATCCTGAGAAATCTATAATTCTCTCTTGGATGAATGGGTATATTTACCGAATCTAAACTATTCAAGGGGATGAATGGGGGCATGAACTTTTAATAATTACATTTACTACTTTGGAGGAGCTACAAAGATGAACTCGCAATTCCACAATACAATAGAAAGATTAAATATTTCCTCTATCACTCATGGTAGGAAAGTGCCAATAGATTTGTATCAAACAAGTCTTGAATGGGAAGTGATTACTCCAAAATTTAGTACTGAGAAACTAAAGGCATTCAATCTTGGCTGATGCCAAATAAATAATCAAGAGATACTGATCTTTGGAGGAGCAATACCTAAATCTAAACCAGCTATTTATGTATCTCAAAGCTCTAGAAGCACTTTTATTTTCAACACTAAGGAATGATCCCTAAAATTCTTTGATGGAGACACTGAGGAAGAAGAGAAGAAAGTGCTTGATTATGAAGCAGAGGATTATTGATTACTCGAAAAAGATATTTTCTACCATAACGACCAGATCTTATACAAGAACAAAGTATACTGTCTCGGGAAGGAAAACTTCCATATATTTGACTGTGTTTCAAAGACCTGGGAATATGCTCTAAACTACCAGCCATCTCTGACTCATATAAATAGTGAAAATGATAAATAATTGCAATCTAAAATCTAGAAAAAGGGGTTTTGGGGTTTTGGGGTTTTGGGGTTTTGGGG